AATTTCTCTACATTTAACAATTCCAGGAATTACTCTTTTACAAAGAAAAACAAACCACTTGGATGCATCTAGAAACGCAATACTCGCTTGGGTATTTTTGTTAGGTAATCCGATTGGGTATTTTGAACACAAACACACGGACAGAGACGCAACCCGCCACACAAATTTGCAAATTTCGGAACTTTACGGGGCGTAGTTGGCCAACTAAGCATTTTGGGACCTCGACTTATTTGGATTTATCACCAAATTTTGTTGACATATTTAATTGTTACGCCCTGTGTTGAAGTAAAATTTCACATATAATCACCGAGTTTACTACGCTAGCATGTTTGTCGGTCTGTGGGACAAGATTAACAATGGATAACCACTAATTGTACCATCAGATATTTTTTACAAAAATTTCAAGGTCGAATTGAAGGATGAATAGAGGAAAAAGTTTTACAGAGATTAATTATAATTTGCTTTTAGCCTGCCGTGACGAGAGCGCCGAGCACTTTATAGTTTCAAGAAAATTCAAACGTAAACTTATCTTGAGTTCAACAATCGACTTGTCTTTGTTTGTAAAGGAAGCTCTTGTGATACTCCATTCATCTTTTGTATAAATTGTTTCTTTCTCCTTCAACTTTAACACAACTTTAGCGCAAACAATAAATTATTCAGCACGCTCCTGATGTTCCTTTTGTGTGAAAATTACTTTGATTTTTCGTTTTATCGTGTTAATTTACCAATGTGTCTGAGAATAATTCGAAAATGGATTTGAAATGTGACGCTATACATGCCAAACGAAATTAAAAATTTAATTTCCGTGTGTCTCGTCTTGCGATATCTGGTATTGGCAGCCAAATTTATTGGTACCTGTGAACATTCTTTGAACTTGCGTCTCAATTTTCAAATGTCAATAGTTTTTAAGTGAAATCTACTATACGCATACGTTAGCAAACGGAAAATGAATTTCAATAATACGAAGGCAAAGATCGTGTACATACTGATTTTAGGAATCAAATTCCTGCTTGATAAAATATAAATAAATGTTTAAAACACCACCCATTCGTTCTGCTTTCAAAATTTTAAGGTAGGTATTTTATTGAAGAAATGGCGTTCAACCCGGTTAGGTAGGTTCTAAACGGGACCTCCATCAACTCAGCATTATCAAAATATATCAACGGTGATTGCCGCTGTTGTCCGATTAGTAGATAAGCTGTAGCATCAAATTATTCCCAAAGTAAAATGATTAAGGCGACCAAAATGGCTTGCAAAATGCTAAAGTTGAACATTTGTTAATGTAAATTTATTTCTACAATATCTAATCAGAAGATTTATATATAATAATAATAATACTTTATTAATCCTCTGAGCTCATAAATGGTATGGGATAAGTCAATTCAAATAAATGCATTTACACTAAACAAATTATATATATATATATATTTAATGTGCAGTTTTTTTTAAGAAAAATTTTGCATTTACATTAATTACCACGTAAACAGTATGGTACTGGAATAATGGCGGCCATACGTCCTACTGGGAATATGTGGTGTGTCTCCTCTTATTGTTTAATGGTTTATAAAAGTCAATATTCTCCACTAATTCGTTCCAAAACACATTACTCCTTAAATACCCTTAATATTTTTACTCCCTTGAACGTAAATACTGCTAAATCGCTCCACGATCTATTTCTTATCTTCAAAGCCCGTTCCTCCCAGTGAAGGATAGGACTTTGTTTAGCCTAAGTTGCTTCACCCTCCCCTGGTCCAGATAGCCGTCTCCTAGGAGTTGATGTCTGTCCCTGATCAATGTATAGTGACGGACCACATTCTCGATAGTTTCATCTGCCTCGCCACAGAACCTGCACGTGGGCTCCTCCACAAGCGAAATGTTATACAGGTGATAGTTGACCATCCAGTGCCCCGTAAGGACACAGGTGATTTTCCTAATTCGCCCTGCCAAGGGTCCCTGTTAAAAAGGCCCTGGACTGTCCGAGTCTGGTTACTTGTTGCCACTGAGCCTGGGATTGACGGGTCACTCAGTTTGATAATGGTAACTGTGGGTCATAAATAAATTACCATCACTGCTTTCAGAATTTGAATGTATAAAAATCAGGATCTTCATATCTTGCCGCGAAAGAACATTTAATAGCTGCCTCTTTTCAAACGAATCCATCAGGCGAAGCACCAATGTTTGTTTGTTAATGGACTGTATACACTTGATTTTTAATTAAACGGTAAACTTAGGAATGCAGTATTTAATTTTAGTAGAACAAACGTAAGTACAATGAAAATAAAGTAATAATATTTGCTAATGAACGCCAAACATTGCGTGTTATAGTACAGTGCATTCATTACTGTGAATAAACGCTTCTCCCCGTCGACTGTTAGCTCGCTCTCTCACCGAAAGCACTCGAGTTCACAATTCACGCGCGAACAACCAATAAAAGGATAGTTGGGATGAAGGATCGTTCCAGATTTTGTACACTGCATTCCTGTACGATCCAGTATGACAGGTTCGGATAGATGACATTTTTCTGACGTATTCAAGCGAGGCCTACGATACTTACAGGCCGGAGCGCTCGAAAAAGTCACGTGACGTTAGGAGTCATATGAAATACATTACGGCTTATGGAAAATCTGTGCGCGGCTCCACTATTTATTTTTTTACTCCGGATCCGTTCAACATAGAGCCACGAAATTTCAATGAGAGCTTGTCAATAGTACACACAATCAAATTATGGTGTTCGTTAATTTTTAATAACACTAAAAATAATTAATTTTTAGGTTTAAAGTATTGAAGATAAAACGATGTTAGTAAATCCGCGTTTTTCTATCTTTACATCATCATATTTCTTTTTCTAGGAACTATATCATTATAATCCTTTCGGTGCCTTAAACTAGAATGATATGCGCCTCCAATTATGCGTATATCATGCCTTATCTGGTATTAGTATAGTTTTAACAGGCCCTACAAAATCGCGCATTTATTATCCGCGCAGAGAAAAATTCAACATGCGAGAAACTTTTTTGTTATTGCTATAATTGTATCACATATATCGAATGAATTGTGACCAAAGGACACAAAAATGTTCTTCAGAAGGAATTTTTAAGAAATGGTCTCTTGTTTCCTTTTTTTCAGCAGCTGAAGTAAATAGCGCGATTTCAGAATAAGTGAACGCGCAAAGGAATTATTATGTTTCAAATAATTGTTAGTAATCGATTTCCAAATTGTGTTTGTGAGATTCAAGAGGAGTATTTTGCATCAAAGATTTTGTTTCGTCGTGTAATTTAGCAGAAGATGAGGCGATGTTAAATATAAGTATTGAAATATTCTAAGATTTAGAAAACGACACAACAGTTACTTCTGAAAACGAAAAAAAAACGGCACTGCCTATTCCTTACAAGCTGTACTTTTTACTAAAACTGCTGTAAGTTGGATAGAAAATGCTATTTTTTAAAACTTCCTTATTCAAAAGGTTATTTTTATTTATTCATAGAATGAAGATGAAAGCCTAGGATACTTACCAGGCCTCTTAGGCGGACAAGACAAATTTCCCATTTCACTTTAACACGAGAAGGTATAACTAAAATACTTTATGTACTGCAAAATTCATATTAACGAAGATATAAGATATACTCCATACTTTTGACTGATAATATCTTTAATTTTATAGTTTAATGTAAATTTGAATCTCACAAACACAATTTGAAAATCGATTACTAACAATAAATTATTTGAAACATAATAATTCCTTTGCGTGTACACTTATTCTTGAAATCGCGCTATTTACTTCAGCTGCTGAAAAAAAAGGAAACAAGAGACCATTTCTTAAAAATTCCTTCTGAAGAACATTTTTGTGTCCTTTGGTCACAATTCATTCGATATATGTGATACAATTATAGCAATAACAAAAAAGTTTCTCGCATGTTGAATTTTTCTCTGCGCGGATAATAAATGCGCGATTTTGTAGGGCCTGTTAAAACTATACTAATATCAGATAAGGCATCATATACGCATAATTGGAGGCGCATATCATTCTAGTTTAAGGCACCGAAAGGATTATAATGATATAGTTCCTAGAAAAAGAAATATGATGATGTAAAGATAGAAACCGCGGATTTACTAACATCGTTTTATCTTCAATACTTTAAACCTAAAAATTAATTATTTTTAGTGTTATTAAAAATTAACGAACACCATAATTTGATTGTGTGTACTATTGATAAGCTCTCATTGAAATTTCGTGGCTCTATGTTGAACGGATCCGGAGTAAAAAAATAAATAGTGGAGCCGCGCACGGATTTTCCATAAGCCGTAATGTATTTCATATGACTCCTAACGTCACGTGACTTTTTCGAGCGCTCCGGCCTGTAAGTATCGTAGGCCTCGATTCAAGTCGATTATGCTCTCAAATGAAGCCTCGCTTCCTGCCAAACATTGAAGAAGTAATTCTTTTTTCTTTGTTCACTCCATATTCAAGATTTGTCCCGTGACCTACTCTCATTGTCTAGCTTTCTATTTTCTTCCTCTGATATAGTGTGTCCCAGATCGCGTGGGATGGCATGGGTAACTTTCTTATTATTAAAGATAGAGAATTTGGTTAAATGGACAATGTTTTGCAGTTTTAGATGCTTATTTAAAATTTGCTTGCGGAAATTCAAAATGTCGAATAGGTTCGACGTAAATTCAAAAAAACTAAAATTGCTCCATTTACTTTAATGTCTTATATCATCGAACGTATAAGAGATATATAAAAGTTACTGTCTTTGATACTCTTCATTTAGAATTGATGTTTAACCCTCTATTGCATGAATTTTCAAAAATAATTAAAAAGGCGCAAATAATTTTTTGCCTAACTCTTTTAGCTTATTTACACAAGTATTAGTTGATATTTAGAGAAAAATGAAAAAAACAGCGGAATTTTGAAAAAAAACCAAAATGTGACCAATTGGGAACATTATGCATGAAAACAGTGCATCGGAACAGAATCTTATATTTTTACATTATGTATTTTACACGTCAACATGAAACTCCTTGAAACAATTTTTGTTTGGGTGAAAGCATAAATGTATTTTACATTTTACACATACAACCCTTGACTTTCCCTTGCAAGTTCGCCTCTTGCATCTCTCTCTGTTTGTAGTCCAGGATGGCCAATGGTCAGTGCGATCTTCTTGTATATATGAACTAGGTCGAGCTTCCAAACATCTTCGTTTTGGTAGACATTGTGGACTTGAACTTCTCGGTCGTCCAGCTCTCTTGTGTTTGGTTACAATGTTTTTTTGAGCACATAATTGTTCTGCAAGAGTTTTGAAAACTAGTAGTGGAACAACATCTTCAGTTTTGCCAAGTTGCTTCTTGATTCGCCTGTCTACAAGCCACGAGTTTACTACTGCAACGTCTATCAAATGATAAAATATTCTGTGGTACCACTTCTTACTTTTCAATTTTATGGGGTACAGTCCTAGTAGTGAATCTAAAAGATCAACCCCTCCCATATGTCTATTATATTCTTTTACAATATCGGGGCACTGAATGTCTTTCCTTGTTTGCTCTGAACGAAAGAACCTCTTTACTTTTACTGTTGGCTCAGTTCCACAATAATCGGAAATTAGTGATACTATTTTATTGTCATACCATTGAATAGCGTGTATGTCTATTCCATCAACGGTTGCGGTTTGTTCTTGGATGCTTCCACGGCCCTTTCGTTTCATTTCCTTCTCCTGCATCATTTTAGAGTTTTTGAGCCGATTTGAGCGAACAGTAGCAACAGAATGAATATTCCTTTTAGATAAGTGGGATACTAATTCTAAGCTGGAGAAATAATTGTCATAATAAAGTTTGTAATGTTCGTTATGAGGTACAATTTTACTCATTCTTATCACAACATTACTAGCTGCCCCTAAATCTGGTTCATTTGCAGTATGGGTGTTATCCCCTTTTCCAGAAAACAGTTCAAAATTGTAAGAAATCCCAGAAATACCCGAAAGTACCCACATTTTATAGCCCCATTTATGGGGTTTTTTGGGATTGTATGTTTTATAACGGGAACGTCCTTTGAATGAAATGACCTGTTCATCACAGGATAAATTTTCTTCAAGTGGGATTTTCAAACAAGCATTTCGTATTTGAGTAATAACTGGCTGAATTTTATCAATGCCCTTAGCATTATTGGAATTGTCACTAAAATGTATATACCGTTTGATTTGTTCAAATCTGTTGACTGGCATTACATCTGCAACTTGTGGAATTCTAGTTTTTGGTGACCAATAACGTCTACTGGTTGGCTGCCTTATGAGCGACATCCATAGCAGTATACCAATGAAGTTTTGAATTTCTTCTGGACATGTTGTAATGGGCTTAGCTGGATTAGTTTGAACGCTGTACAAACAGGTTTGACGGACAACTTCCACAAGGAAATCATCAGATATGAAATGGCTGAATAATTTCAGTGGGGTATTCAGTGTCAATATATTACCTGGCAATAGCTCGTCACCTGTAAATTGGTTGGTGGTAACATTTCGTTTTGTGGAAGATGGTTTCCATTTTATAGGGTTTTTGGGTTTCTTTTTTGTAGTTGTGGAATTTCTTAGATGTGACAAAGGCACATTATCTTCCTCGTCACTTGTGGTGTCTGAAACTGTAGTCACTTGAGGGGCTGTTGTTGGTTCAGAAATATCATCATCTGATAGCTCCGAATCTTCGCTCTCATTAGGGATATCCCTTTGCCTATAATATGATGCAACTGTGGGACCGCCGTAAAACGTCCTGGCAGGAATTCCATCCATCGTACTGTAAACAGTTTTTAGTAAGACTGCACATATGGTGTATAATGTTCCCAAAAGGGAACCGAAAAACAAAATCAGATTTCAAACCAAAAACAATTCCAATTCATCTTTTCATTGTCAATCTTACATATACTAGGTACTTACCAAGCTAAAGAATAAATTTTTGTAAGTATTACTACAATATTACTATATTTCCAACAATCAAATAAACAAACGTCAACAACGTCATAACACGCCAACTACAGCTGGGTAAATAAAGCCGAATAAATCGCAACCTTACTGTTGGTTAGGCAACCAATCCTGCTATATAGCATTTGAATGTTCCCCCATGGGAACGGTATACCTACAAAGAACGTTGGTTACATAGGGATAATGCATACGGATATCAAAGTTTGTGTGTCCAAACGGGAACGTCATGCAATAGAGCAGCGTTTCCCAAAGTGGTGGGTCGCGACCCACCGGTGGGTCGCGAGCTGCTTTTTGGTGGGTCGTGAAAAAGTTCTTGAAAAGTGAATTTCTATATCGTAAAAATAAGAGGCGGCGTATAAAGTTAAGCGCAACAAAACAAGCGCATCTATAAATTAAGCTAGTGGAACAAAGAGATGCCCAAAACTTTATTCCAAATGACGTGCGCGTGACACGCACGTAACCTTCGGCTTGTGCCACAAGTGTCAGTTCGGACGAAGCAGTGTTAGTTGCAACTACGAATAATAAGTGACAATCGCCATAAAAACATTCTGTTTTGTAATGTTGTTAAAGTAGCTTAATGATCGTCTTTTATCATGCATAGTGGTTGATAAGGAAATCGAATACGACACAAAAAGGTGCTGAAATTGAAGACATGCAACACTTTGAGCAAAAAAGATGGATTGCGAATCCGTTTCATGCCAATATCACAACTGGAATATCCACCAAGGCTGAGGAGGAGCTCATCGATTTGTCCGAAAATACCTTTTTAAAGGAAATTTTTAACCACCAAAAACTTGCAGAATTCTGGCTTTCCGTTGAAGAAACTTATCCAACTCTCTCTCTTGAAGCAGTGAAGATTTTGATGCCATTCACTTCTTCTTACATTTGTGAAACTGGATTTTCAGCGATGGTAGCAATCAAAACGAAATGTAGAAACAAACTGCAGTTGTCGAATTCCTTGCGCCTGAAGATATCTTGCATCAAAGTGGACATCGACGCCGTTATCAAGAAGTGTAGAAAACAGGCCCACGCTTCTCACACACCTCATTACCTACATTGATTTTTTTGTATTGTATCCTTTTTAATAAAACATTTTTACAAACCAGAGCTGATAAATAAATTGACCCCCCCCCCCTTCCACTAAAGCTAGGTGGGCCGCCAAATGCTGCTGTTTTATCAAGTGGGTCGCGCTTCCAAAAAGATTGGGAAGCACTGCAATAGAGGGTTAAAAAAATTCAAAATGGTTACTTTTGAGGAACATTTACAAACTTCCTAAAGTTAAATAGGCGCCATATTGGATTTTTAGATTATTTGATAGATTTTTAAATTCTCTTTTCAACGAGCTATCATAGCATAAGATTGAAAATAAGATACCGGTTGTATCAAAGGTTTTTATATTTATATTAAGAGGTCAAAAAAAAATAATAGTAACAAACATTACCATGAAAAGAAATACAAATACCTACGCCAAAAAATTAAAATTGACATTAAGAATGCATATACGAATTACGTTTCCAGTACAGAAGCGGACATGAAAACCAATATGAATGCATTTTGGACATATGTAAAAAACTCTAAAGGTAACTGTACCTATCAGAGGAACATGTATCTGAACAATTCAAAATTTAATAAACCCTCAGATATTTCTTCCGCTTTTGCAGAATACTTCGCTTCTGTCTACAAGCAAGTGCCCCCTACGTATAAAATAGATCGGAACGTGTCGATGTTTATATCAAACACCTTGTGTATTCCTGAGGTAACAGAAATAGAAATAGAGGACGCAATTAAAGCATTAAAGCCAAAAAAATCAGCAGGCCCGGATGGAATTCCTCCATACATTATAAAAGCATGTTGCCACATATTCACCCCTGTGTTTAAAATATTATTTAATATCTCATTAAAATCAAATAAATTTCCCACTATGTGGAAAACCACTAAAGTATGTCCAATCCACAAATCAGGAACAAAAGATAATATTGCGAACTATCGTCCAATAGCGGTGTTATCAGTACCAGCAAAGGTATTTGAAAAAGTATTGCATAAAAAAGTATATAATCATGTTAAAGTAAAAATTTCAGAAAAACAACATGGATTCCGTACAAAGCGAAATACCATAACAAATTTAACGGAATTTACACAAAACGTGTCGAAGGCGTTAGAAAATGGAGGTCAATATGATACAATTTACACAGATTTTTCTAAGGCCTTCGACAGTGTCAATCACAACATTCTGCTTACTAAAATGTTTCAGTTTGGTTTCTCAGATGATCTGCTTGATTTCTTCAAGTCGTACCTATCACAACGGCGGCAGCATGTTGCGTTTCACTCTGTTACTTCTGATAGCTTTGAAGTCTTTTCTGGAGTGCCACAAGGATCAAACCTCGGTCCGCTGCTTTTCCTGCTGCTTATCAATGACTTACCGGATGTCGTAAAGTTTGGCGACCTCCTGCTCTTTGCAGATGATTTTAAAATAAGTCATCAAATCCGAACGATAAATGATTGTTTACAATTGCAGGCTGATCTAAACGCGGTGGGTGAATGGGGTAGTCGAAATGATTTAGCATTCAATATTACTAAATGTAAGTTCCTTAGCTTTTCACGCAAAAAACAGGACATTACTTATAAATACAGTCTTTCCGGTCACAGTCTGGAATCGGTTTGCTATCAACGAGACCTGGGAGTACTTTTTGATAAAAAATTGACATTTGCGGGGCACATTGAAAGCAAAATCAAATCGGCATATTCAAGTATAGGTTTTATCTTTAGAATAGCGAAAAACATGAAACATGTAAACACATATAAACTACTTTACAATGCACTAGTGCGACCACACCTTGAATATGCCGATATAATTTGGTCACCACACCTAAAAAAATATGTAAAGGCAATAGAAATGGTTCAAAAAAAGTTCATAAAACGTATGCAATTTAGACTTACAACAAATTATCCTCTCTTTGACCACTATGATGATCTCTTGAAAACGTACAATATGAGAAGTCTTAACGATCGTAGGCGAAATAATTCATTAATCTTTTTATACAAGATAATAAACAATCACCTAGATTCATCGCATTTGCTGTCGTTACTGACTTTTAACACGTTCGCTGCGGTACTGCTCAAAGTTGTCTCGTCGTTTCAGCGTTCTTTTCATTGTGACGATACCAGACAAATGTGTCTGGTATGATTGATTTTTTTTTATGATAATTTTTATCAACATGTGAAATTATTAAACGGTAATTTTTATGATCTTTACTTGAAAATTGTTCAATGAATGACGAACTTCAGTCGCAAGTGGCTAAATCAAAGGGAGAAAAATTCAACAACTAATATGAATACATTTATTTCGAAGAAACCATACAGTTATGTAACAAAAATTTATTCTAATTCACTTTAGCAATATTATTGTGTTTTTCATTAAAGCACGAGAGACACATAGCTGGTTTCTTTTCACAATCAGCACAATAACTGGACACTTTGGTAACTTTCTTGTCTGCTTCCTTACTAGATAAGGTAACTCTTAACTTTTTATAGCAGCCAACACAGTTTCGACGGCGTTTTTTCCCTGGACCTTGTTCGACAGCGAATGTATGTATTCTTTTGGGAGTGGTTGCTGAGCTCATATTCTGTGCTCCAGAACCTTCTTCTACAAGCGCAAATGCAAGATTCTCCCTGAACTGTAGCATGTTCATGTTCTGGTTGTTTTTGTTCATTTGAAATAGAGGAAATACTATCTTGCTTCAACAAATTCAATATTTTTTTGCTACGCGAAGCCATTATAAACAATAGCAGTATCCGTAATCACCTACACATCCTGCAACACGTGCTCAAGCTGTACCGGACACATATGCCTGGTGCCGCACATGCGTAAACCTATTTTCACCGGGTACGATACCAGACACATATGCTTGGTAGACACTATGCACTATAAAGTAGATAAGTTGCGCATGAGGGTCATATAGGTACCTGTAACGCTGCTATTGGTTAAGTGTGTGTTAAGATATATCCTTCGTTGGAATGGGATAGATGGCATAATGAGTAGCCGCCGGAACGAAATTAGAGCTACCAGACCTATATGACTGGTATCGCAGCGAACGTGTTAATATACCGGATAAAAGAACCAGGTTTAAAAAAATAGTATTCTGGATAGGCCATTCACACTCCATATCGTTTAGTAATACGGCACCAATAATTCGCATGATGACGATCTTTAACAATTTGAACACGCGAGACCATGACCTGGAACTGTTTGGTGTATCTTTATTATGCTTTAAAAAGCAACTAATGTTAATTTAAGTCGTTTTGATACCTACCTATTATTTATAATTATTTTTAAATTTTTTTTTGAAAATATGTGATTATTTTGGTTAGGTACTCAAAACTGTAATTGGATACTTGTATCTGTTGTTTTGAGGTTATCAATAAATAAATAAATAAATAAATTTTAATCAAGTAGGCTGTGACGAATTTAAAAAAAACAAAACAAAAGCTATTCGAGGCAACAAAGCAATGAAAATAATTACATGAGGGAGAGGGGAGTTTGGCCGTGACAACTCCCTCCAAAATTTTATATAAGTAGGCCTAGAAAAATTTTGACTTTTATGACGTCACAAGTGTCACAGATAAATTATCTGCTGCAAGTGTACTACCTATTTCGTAGTAAAATAGTAGTATTTAGAGTATTTTTACATAATCTTATTTTACCACGAGATAAGCAGCACACAGCAAAAAAATCATAAATTTATGGCACTTGTTGACTATCTGACATTTTTTGGTTGTTTATTATCACGGCCTACTGTTTATAAACATGTAATTAATTAATGTGTAAATATTTTTGTGAGAAATATTGAATAACCTAAAAAATTCGTACTTTGGTACCCCTAATACAAATTGAAGAGCACACAAAAGACTATCGAATAGAGAAATATAATAGTGTAAATTATAATTAAATTCCACTTTCTCATTACCAAAGTGTTGCCGTTTATTCAGATTCACATGATTGATCAAACGTATTTCTTAACTTTAAAATCAAGGTCGCTACGATTTATCAAAGTGACCACCACTTTAGATCGGAAAAAAATTAAGAATTTGGCAACATTGACAAAAAAACAAACAGTGAATAGGTTTCCATGCAGATATTAACGACATCGAATCAGCTACAAATATACAGGGTGTTCGATTTAAAAAATCCGCTGGGTACCGTAACAATCAGACACCCGGTACATTCAAAAATAATTTCTGTAGATGCGCAACCATCTATGGTTGACATTTGCACAAAAGGTTTTTTGATATTTTTTACTAGATATGAGCTAGGAAAGACCGACGCATTTAACGCACGTACTTTTAATGTAGTTATACAGGGTGAGCTTTTTTCATTTATTGGCATAAGATACATTGCAAGATTCTTCTTGTAAATGCGCATTCGTTAATTCTACAAACAACAGTCCATTTAATCTACTACTAGGCCATTACGAGACTGGCGCTTTAATTGTTAGTTTGTTCCATTTAAATCCAATTCAGATAATGATCGAACTTGACAATTTAGATACATAGTCGACGCACATGCTGAAGAAAAATATTGTTACAATTTTTGGCAATTCATTTACATACTGTAGGTTTTATTATCTTGTTTAACACGAACGTTCGAGATTGTACTCATGACGTAATTTCGAGACTCACTAAATCGTTATTAAGGGAATTACAGAGATCTGGCCATTGGCGGTCGTAGATGGGTTGAGTTGGATGGTCACTGCGTCCCTAAATAGAGGTTCTCGGAGCCCGTTAGAGCAGTATTCGCAGGAAGTAGAGGTTTTTCTCGTATCGCTTTATTCTGTGCTTATAAAATAACGTTTTAAAGGGGAAGTGCTATCCTCGCATGCTGCTGAAATAAGCGCGTCTATAAATGTATCAATTAGTAACGGCTGAGATGACCAAGAACGCGTTTCGGGGGAGTATGTATCCCAATTTGCGTTGTAAATCGCACCAAACCAAGATTTTGAGCAGAGTTGTGCTGCAGAACAAATACTGCAGAATTGTAATTAGTTCCGTGTCCTATCCAAACTG